GTCGGAAAACTACGGGGAATAGGATGGGAAATGTGTATAAAATAAGCGTTGTTGGCTCCGTTATAACTATTATGTTAGCCAGTTGAGTCACAAAGTTAACTCATTGTGGAAAAGATTCCGTTCAGTTCGTTTCAGTTCCTTCGATTCCTTTTTTTCAAAATGCAGTTCAAACCCGTAACCCATGTTATTTTCGACATGGACGGACTGATAATCGGTAAGTATTTGAATAATTAACCTAAGACTAGACTCAGAATGATGGATAATTGCTCTTGTTTGTAGAGTCCGAGTCGGCCTATAAGCGGATTTTGAGTTCAATTGCTAAGCAGTTTGGTAAAGAATTTACCCCTGAAGTGGAACTGAAATTATTGGGTACCACTGAGAAAGATACAGCCAAAATTTTTTTGTGCGAGCTAGATATATCATTATCGCGAGAGGAATTTTTGGACTTGTATCACAAACAGATCACAGTGGAATTGCAGAATCAACCTTTAATGCCAGGTAAAAAATAGGGAGCCTTTAATTTCAAAACACAACTATGCGCCACATATATTTTTGAGTAAAATGCATATACAGGGTGATTCTTTGAAGGTACCCGGATTTTTTTATTACAATCGTTTGTGTTCAGTGTGTGTTAAATGCTTCTAGATGATATGTTTTTGGAATGAATAAACTTAGAAAAACAAAACTTGAACTCATAAAAAACTGACAAACATCGGGACGGATTTTCTTTACTATCTACAGGGTGTCCCGTAAGCACATCATCAAAAGGGTACTGCGATATTCATTGGATCAAAAGAAGGCGATCTGACCTAACTTTTATTAACAAAAAATGTCTGGCTCCTCTGCTTTTGATGGTCAGTTATTGAAAAAATTTATCCTTCTTGAAATATTTGAAATATGTATTTTTTGTGCAAAAACTATGAATGCTACAAGATCTTACAAAAAGCAAAAAATTGTGAATGTAAATGGTAGTGCATCAACCAAAAAAAAATGAGTTGATTTCGTCCACCAAATAAAAAGTTCTGGTAGTTTTTGTACCACAGCACTCAAGAATTCACCACTTGTCCGAAACAGATGAACTCGATTGTTTCATCAAAATATGAGTCTTACATAAGAACAAATTCATGTTTCATGTATCATTGTTCATATATCATGTGCTTACCGGACACTGTTTAATGCCACAATACAAGTCGCCTTAACGGAGTATTTCAGTATTCGTAAAAGTTTTTGATTCACATTTCTTTGATAGTTTTGTTTGCACCATGTTTTCAGGTTGAAAATAGCTCTTGAGAATGGAAATTCAATCGTGCTATTAAACAATATTTTAAATGAGTTCTTTATCCTCTTAAACTTAAACAAAAATTGCGACTGCAACCATTCATCTAGACATATTTGTGAGCAAATGTTTCAAAGCGTTGCAGTCTATTTGTGGTTAGTTTTCTGCTAGTGCTCTTCAAAACTTAAAATGTATAACAATGTCAAACATGGATAGAGTTTACCTTCCTTGTGGAGACCACATGAGAATCGCGTGCGATCCACAGTGTTTTTGTTAAAAGCAAAATTTAACTTCGTAGTTGACTTTAATAGAAAACTCGTTGAAATGTTTCGCCTAGACTTTAGTACTATCCAACTTTTAGGAAAGCCGTATCAAGTAATAGTTACAACTACTGTTGTAGATATCACATTTTCACTCTCGAGAAATATTTCTTTTATATATATATATATGTTATATTTGCGATTCAAATATAATGTTTTTAAAAACTATTTTTTATTCACTTTTCACAATTTTTTATTATTATACAAATTTAATTAATAATGGATCAAGAATTACGACTGTTACTGTATGTCTATTAAAATTCTGAACGATCGTACTAGACCGGTCTGCCTTTTTATACAAAAAATGACTGGTCAGCGATAAACAAATATTCGTGTGTAAAAGGTATTGCTTTTCTTGATACATTGTATGCGAATAGAACATTTCTTTGTTAACTGAATTATTT